TCCCATAGTAACTTACACTCCACAGCTAACCTGCTCCAGGGCAGGTTGTGTTCTGGGGAAGAGATCTCCAACTGAAATTGGACCAATCAGATGTGAGCAAAGTGTCACATGAACAAAAGTGACACTACATGAGCATAGTAAAAAAAAAAGAAGAAACAAAATTGTTATTAGAGTTATATGCTTTATATATGATTTATATAATTATTATATGATTTTTTATTATTATTAATCCATTACACACAAGCTATTTTAGTTAAACAATTATTATAAAGCATTTGTTTTAAATGAATATTTATATATACAGATCATATGCAATATAAATAAACTGTAGAATCAATAGATAACTCTTTAATAAGTGACTACATGTGACCTTACATGTTCGAGTCTCTATCGCTATTTATTATCAACTATATAATAACTTTGCAAGTTTCACTTCTGACTGCACTGATGGAGCAAGATTATTTCTTTTATTTGTCCTCTTTCATGGACAAGAACTTTCTTCAGTGTAAATGCATTTAAATTCCTCATATTCTTCATTCTCTTAACCTTTAGCGAAAGAGTTAATAGTCACAAGAAGTGAATCACACTTGCTCTGTGTTACAAGGCATGTGATTGGCTGTTCGCCAGTGATGTCACACATTCAATTCAGTTTAATTCAAATTTATTTGTACAGCGCTTTTCACAATACACATTGTTTCAAAGCTGCTTTACATGTGTCTACATTACTATAATCTGTTATCAGAAGTGAATGTGTCCACGTAAAGTTAATTTCACAAATGAACAGGTCAAGATAATAGAATCATACAGTTAGCTAACATTAATTAATTTCAGGTAGAAGCTCATTAAAGCGATTATTACAAGTGTGATCATTATGATTACAATATAGAGAAAATTTGGCAGCTGTGCATATGTGCACGCGCTCCACAAACTCAGAATCAAAGCCTGAGTTGACAAAGAAAGTTGATGATCAGGATCATGGTACCAACAAAGCCAGATTGGAGTGGTTTGGTTTTGTCAACTCGAAAGTAATCCTGTAACTCAGAATTTGTTCAACTACCATCATGGTACAGGCCCCAGAACTAGTAAATTGAAGCTCAGACGTGCGCGAGAACCAAAGAATCAGGTTTTGTAACCAGTGTCGCCAACTGCTTTCAATTGAAAGTAGCTGAAACTGGTAGCTAAATGTCACTAGATGACATCATAATGGCAAATTCACTGATCTATATAAAGATGAACGTAGATCAGTGGGCAAGATGAAAACTTAGATAAGGTTTGTCTAAGAAGTTGCTATATTTGTCCCTAAACTTTTGAAAAAAGTCTCAAAAGGGGCGGGGAAGTCGCCAAATCTAGCTACAAAGTAGCTAAATTGGCAAGTTTGTAACGTGTTACGCAAGCACGTCTGATCTTCCACAAAGCCAATGAGGTTTGTTTTCGCGCATCACGCAGTACGTTGAGCTTGTTTGAATTTAGGAACTTAAACAAGTAAATAAATTGATATATTAAACATCTTTGGAAAAATTATTTAAGATATACTTAAAATGACAGGATGTTGAAATGCTTGAAGAAAGTACAATTAATCGCTTATTATAATGAATGTATCATGTTATGTATTTAAAAGTGAATTAAAATGTATTTGAATTGTATTACAAAATGCATAGTATTCTTTTTGAGGACAAACAAGTAAAACTGAACAACATATTGATTTTAAGTATGCTTATTACTAAGGTATAGTTGGCACAATTATATTTATAATAGATTATAAGTTGGTACAATGTAAAAATGCATTTGCATATTTTATAGACCTAGCCATAATGTATTTATATGTGAGTGAATGAATATACTTTATACAATATATTAAAATGTTAAAAATGTTTTGCAAGATATCTTCCTTTTGAAAAGTATGCTGAAATACATGTTCATTACATAAATATTTAAAATATATTGCAGTATGTCTACATTTGCTTATAAATAAGATACATATACTTTAAACCCACTAAACGTTGTATAGTTTTATACAAAGTAAACATAAAATATACTTTAAGTAAGGTTAAAATAAGTATGTTTTCTGTAAATACACTAAAATGTCATACTTGTGTTTTAGCATATTTCTTAAAAGTGTAATTAAGCATATATTACCAACATTACCAACATGCGTCTAGTATACTTTAAAAAATATATGAAAATGCAATTCAATACATTTTTAATGCACTTCAAGTAAGCGTGTTAGGAGTACAATTGTACTACAAATATACTAGCCTATGTGAATTTCAAGTATATTTTTAATACATTTAAGAGTATTTCTTTTTTACCTGGGGATAGATAGATAGATAGATAGTGGTTTTAATCACTTGAATAACTTTTATTTAGTAAAACTAGCATGTACTCATCTTATTGTGTTGTTTCAGCTTAGTTATTCCAAGAGAGTTCATAGTCAGATAATTTCTCAACTTTATGTTCCCACATCTCAGTGTTTTCCAGGGCAGTCTGTCCTGTTGGCAATTTAAGCATTGGCCAAAGGCACAGACATCATGGTCTCATCAAAATAATATGAATCGACTGAGGAGCCATTAAAATATTAGACACAGATGGATGTCAACACTTACCACAATAATGGTGACAAGTTCAAATAAGCTGAGAAAAATGACCACTAAATAACAAACTGTGATGACAATAAATATAATACAATAGAACAGTATAGTAATCGGCATAGCTGTGCATGATAGGAATTTAAGTAAGCATAAAGTATTACAATTTGTAGTGTTTATTAGCTTTGTGATTTACTTGTGATCTAACTAATGGGGGGGGGGAGGATAGAAATTGATTTTAATTTCCCCCTCTCTCCGATTTTATTAGTTTGAGTGGCCAGACATAAAAACACCAATAGCATTTGATGTTGCTAATGCTGTCAAAATTACACACAGCACCTTTAAGCTTTAATCTTGTTTACTGAAGTTTCTGGTGGAGACAGGGAGGTTCTCTGAACATTCCTATTCAGTATTTATGACCCGGATTGAACCTTTAGGAGTACTTTACTTTCACACAGTCCATCTGGTTACACACACAAGGACAAAGAGGTGCTACGTGAGGTCCCTCACATAGCTGAGCTGATGTGCCAAGCTTTTGAGAACCTTGCTCTTCTGTTCAAGACCAAAGGAGCATGGAGATGCCAACTGCCTGACTTCTCATGTCTGAAAGTTCTGCAGTGTAGAGACCTCCAGTGAATAGGCCTACCTTTATCCTTGACTGTCACTGAACACTTGCTGCCGGCATTTAAGGCATGCAGCATAAGAATAATACAAAGTCTGCAGCAAAATTATTATGCCTTATAAGCATATTTAAGACTGTATGCAGCCTATGCAGACAATCCTAGAATACAATGTCACAAGCTCAGCGAAAAACATTGTATATTAAGGATTTTTCATAAAACGTGTCTTTGGACCAAGTGTGTGTTTTCATTCCACCCTGCATCTTTCGTTTTTAATATCAAAGAAATGTATTCTGTTTGAATGGCCCCTTAACCTTGTTTAAGTTTTTTTCAGCAGGGAACAAGAAGTTAAAAGTTCTGCACTGCCAATTGTGTTTTTTAGCATGGGGTTAATGGAAGTACTTTCTCTTTACTGAAAATGTCTCAGTAAATTCCCTCTTTTCAGAATGAAAATTGCAACGCAATGACCACATTGACCCTGCAGCATTTCCTTTCCACTTTCACAACCTAGTCTTGCTGTGGTGGCTGAAATTTTAGAATTTTTGACTTTTTTGAAGTTTTGAACACTATTGTTTGTGTGTACAAAATATATAGTAATTTTTCAGTAACTTACCTGGTTTAATGTGTGGCCCAGAAGGGCCCAGATCCTTTTTATTGCCTAATCATGATTCTAGTTTTTTCTAATTTATATAGGCTATAATTGATTGACTTTATCTGTATAGTGCAATACAATATAACATGATATATTGCAGAGCAAAGGTTTGGAGATTCGTTTGATTCATTTAATTCACAAACATTATTTTATATTTTCTCGGGATGGGGAGGTTGGTGGATGTATCTATCTCCCATCCAAAGTGTTGAATGCAGTTTCTGACTTAAGGCGCTGACTTACAACCACACTGATTCCTACATTTTTCTGGTTGATAGGGAAAAAAAACATGCTGTTTATCATAGGCTCAATTGAAAATAACCACAGAGAGAGATGGACAATTGGAAAATAGCAAATTTAGAACTTGAACAGACACGCACAAACGGGAACACGTTACAGCTCAGCTTCTTGCCCTGGCACATGTGAAAGAGAGATTTTCACAGAGTAAATGTCCTGTAATAACACATAGAAGGAAACATGCATTATTGTTTCTTGCCACCAGCGAGTGCTGTTGTTTAAAGGCCCTTTTCGTTTAAGTTGTTTAAGTTGGTGATTCCCAACCAAGGGATACTTGGTTGTTGAAGAAGTGATACATGATCCCTTTTGATGCCAGTGTGACTGAAAAGGTGGGACTGATTGATGGGACTGTGGGAGACAAAAAAAAAAAGGTTGGGAAGCACTGCTTTATGGGTAAATTAGGTTGTCTCACCTGCAGATTAAACTGTTTTGGGGCAATTTGATGAAAAATGTCATGTTCTCCAGACATCAGAATGATGTCAATTATGCAAAGTCTGTGTTTCTACACCAGAAAGGTTTTTTATTTTATTTTATTTATTTATTTGTATTAATTATTTATTTTTTTTACCACAAATTTCACAAATTTTAATCTAAATTTAAATTAGGCCTAATTTAACTATATAATGTTCTTAAAGGGGAAGATGTCACATGTACTCATGTAACACCACCCTTTTTGATGCTGCTTCTTCATCTTTTTCTTATTTATTAAAATAATAATTACTTTTCTTTAGGCTTTCTATTATTTATTATTATTTATATTAATTAATATACATTTTTATTGATTTTTTCGTTTATAATTTTACAGAGATTATATTATAATCTGTCTGTTTTTACACTCTTTTTTTGCAGAGTTCTTCCTTAGTAAACATAAACAGCACTGCTAAAGGTAAGAGAATCACCTCATGACATAAAACATATCAAATACAGTCTCATACACATGTTTTCAAATCTTATAGCAACCACTACTCAATAAACATAAGTAGGTTGAATTAGTTCTTATCTTTTTTCTGTTTTACATTTTTCTCTTTGTTATGAGGATCAGACACACATGAGAATTGGATATTTTACAGCAGGAACTGAAAAAAAAAGACTACATTATATTAAACCTACAAAGTCCTTTTACTTGACGTGTTATTTATTAAGCAGAGCCCTTTTGGATACTTTTTAAACAAATTGGCTGTCAGATAAATATTTATAGTCTCTTTATTTCAAATGTAAGTGAGAAACTTACACCAACTCACTAATAACACTAATAACGAGAGTAATATGGCAGTAAAAAGTCAAAATTGGTAATAAAGAACCATTCTCTGCAAGATCCCACAGGACATTCTCTGCACTTCTCGGCCACCGTACATTCTCTCTTTTAAGAAATCCTGATAAATGAAAAACAGATATGCACACACACACTGCAGAGATTTTTCTTGTTGACCTTTTCCAGAGATTTTGTAACTCAAACTATCAATGTAAATAAAATCTGTACTATATGTACATTTCTGCATATGTAAATATGGGTCATATACAGTATATACATTTGTCTTGAGAGGTATTTTGAGATGAAACTGTAGTTGGCTGAACCAGAGCATGGGTTCTAACTCAATCTGATATAATCACATCATTTTTCGCATGGCACAGCTGATGGTTTCTTTCACATCAGCAGCCAATGAGCTTGCTGCTCAACATTCAGATACTCGGCTAGTGCTTGCTGTAGTAGTTGCACCGCGCTGCAGAAACCTTCACCTTCCCCAGCTCCACCTGTATAGATCTGCTACGGGGTAACTTCATGTAGGTTATATATGGGGGTTATTTCATATATGTAATATGTGCAGCAGCAGTATTTCCTACATGCTCACAGCAGCATGTCCGTGGATGTAGCAGATCTGTTCCACCAAGACCAAACTCATTAACATTGCCATGCTAAACACTCCGAGAGTTGTCATGACAGTTTGCTCAGTGATTGCTTCCAAACGCTCAGTAATTTCTTCTTGTATCTTCATGCACACTTGTAAAGGTCTTGTATTTCTGTGCTGTGTTGCAGTAATTCTGTTTCAAGAGGTTTGGGGGAAAAGCTTCTGCCGCACTATAGAGAACTTAGTGGAAGTGGTTCAGGAGTACCCTGGAGAGGTGGAGCATATTTTCAGCCCCGCCTGCGTGCCATTGGTCCGCTGCGCTGGTTGCTGTGGAGATGAGAATCTGGAGTGTCACCCTACGCTCACTTCTAACACCACCATGCAAGTAAGGATTTTTCCTTTGACAAGGCCGACGATATTTACTGTTTCAAAAGTAGCACAAAAGATGGTACCAATAATTATGAATACTAGCTCATACTTTTATATATTGGACTTTATTTGGACTATTCTTTTTCTGAAGTGATATCTATATAAGAGAATTTGTTTTGTCTGTGTCAGGCACATGGTTGGGATTGATATTAATATTAAGACTTTTTCAGTTGTTAAAGATCAAGCCAGCAGAGCAGGGCCAGGAATATGTGGAGATGACCTTTGTGGAGCACAAAGCCTGTGAATGTAGGTAAGGAAAAGATCAATTTTGTTAATGTAACCACATTTTCCATTGTGATACAGCTTTGTATTGTTGTCATAGATACACATATTAAACACAAATGTTGAGAATTTGTTTTGTGTGCTGAATTTATCAAGTATGACATATGTTTGTAATAATCCCTCCGCTTTTCTGTCACTCCATGATTTCTCTAACACTGTGATGCCAAGACTAAGAAAACCTACAACAAAACAAGACAGGTAACAAGTTATCACACTTATGCAGTTTTGGTATACAGACAAATTGGAATTTCAATGATTCTTCGTTTTGCTGTAGATGGAAACCCAGAAACAGAGGGAGAAAAAGGAAGGAGAAAAAGAGAGTGAAAGATTGTGACAAGTAAGTTAAATGTTGATGGTTTTACATTAGCATGTTGCTAAGCTAACAAGGCAATAATATGCATAGATAATCACAAAATACATAGTGCACTCTGAAATTAAGTAACATAACATTTTTAATTGGATCAAACTCATTTTTAGCTATACTTTCCTGTACAGAATGAAATCTAAATATATTTCTTATCAGCATCACCCCTTTGACTGATTGATTTTTTCAGTGAAAATGAATTTCTACTTGACCTGACCCTTGAAAATGACTTTCATTGGTGAAAACCAGTGGTTCTCACCCTTTTTGAAGGCCACCATCATCCACAATAATATGTGAGGGCTCCATGACTAGTTATTTGTGATTTAATTGAGGATTAAATATTTTCCACTCACAATTTCCACTTAATAAAATATTTTACAGGTCGCTTTGGTACTATTTTCACAAGCAATTGTTACATTTTCAAAACTCTTACAACTAATATGACAGCAGATCATTAAAAGTGCACTTTTTTCAAACATTTCAGCATATTTTTCTATTGTCTTAGTACAATACACACAATCAGAAAGTATCCTTTTCACTAAATGTTTCATTCGCAGTAACTGCCTTTCATAAAGCTCTTACTATCAAACTTTTCATTTGCGTGTCTACTCATTTAGTTTAATACTGTTACGTATCCGGTCCATGAACTTCCGTCTGCTAGCCATCAGAGGTCACCCTTTCCATTTTCATTGACTCTCGCACTACACACTGTTGCATATCACCCCGGACTACATATCCCATCATTCATTGCACTGATTGCACACAGCACTGATGACCTACGCTAGCCCTAGGACTATTCTTGTGTCTTGCCCGCCATATACCTGCTTGCCACCGTTCGACCCTGCCTGTGTTTCTGACCTCCTCTGATGTTAATAAAGCTTGCATATGGATCCGCACGTCTCACGTCTTGTCAGCCCCGTAATAAATACATTTGTCTATTATTTAGTCTAACTCTTCTTAATGGTTAATCAGTGAATCATTTGGTGCATCTATAGACATCTATAGATATAGATTCAATAGACATAGTTTATAAAGAACTTGTTTGCAATTCAGGGGTAACCAAATGTAATGAATTATTTTTACACTATAAGTGATTTATCTTATCGTACCCAGAAATGAGCAAAACCTGACAAAATTGCTGAAAACCTTCCTTTGAGGATGTCCTCATTTGTAAAACTGTGTGTTTGGCAATTTGTGAACACAGCAGGATACAAGGGAGAGGAACTGATTAGAGATTGATCAGAGATGTATAAGAAGAAGGGAGACAGATGGCATCAAATACAGCATTTTACATTACATTATGCCATGTGATAGTGTGTATAGAGGCATTACCATGGTAGAGTCTGCACATTACTATAACTCACTCTTCATCTGAAAAGTTCAGCTACAGTATAGATTCAGTCATATGGCACAGTGAGGACATTTACTGCATTAACAGTAAACTCTGTTCTGGCACAAAACATTATGGCCATGGCATACCTTCATCACACCTTTTGATAACAACCCGGATAAATACTTTTACAAACATTATGGATTTTATGTGAGTTATGCAAGTTATGTAATGTGACAATTATTGCCTGTATTACTGTAATTATTTCAACAACAAAGGTGATTCTATCTTGCATTGTTTGCTCTTGAATTAACTGATTGCTAAAAGTACAAAACTGAAAGAAGATCATACTGTCGTGTTTTGGAGATCAAATCAAATCAATATGTACAATAATCTTATGTTTTGAAACAATGATTATATTGAATGAAAACATGTGGATTGTAATGAAAGCATGATATCAGTTTTTAAAAGAATGACTAGCGATATTACAAGTGTGATCAGTTTGGATTTTGTACTAAGAAAAAACAGCTGTTGAGGGGGTAAGCTATAAGAAACTAAGAGTGGGTGAAGTAAGAAAAATCTTGATTTTTGTTTTAGCTTATTTTAATGTTTGTTTTGTCTTTATTTTAAATTATATCAAGTCATCTTGAGGCCCTGCCCCCCGATTACAGTAAGAACCACTAATGTAGTCAAGTTGATTCAGTCATAATATTAACTGTTGCACTAAAAACCAGTTATTGCAGATATTACCTCATGAAGAACCTCGTCCCACTAGGGTCTGAAACAAAGCAGTAATGAAGTCTCCACATTTCAGTGATAAGAGCAGGTTTTTTAATGTACTTTAAGGACACAAGTACAAAGAGTGCATTGTTCTCTGAGCATAAGTGGCACACTTACAGTAATGTGTGCTCTCTTACAGGTGTCAGCCTCCCCGTAGGTAAACGCTGTCTCGCCGTGATGCCAGCCAATCGTGTGTTTTTCAAAATATTGTTTATATGTATTAATATTATACAACTTTAAGAGTACCTTTTCGTAATAGAGTGACTATTGTTTGCTATTTCTGATTATTATTAAAAAGTATTTTATAAAACATTTGACGTGTGTGTGTGTGTGTGTGTGTGTGTGTGTGATTTTGATCAAAGACTGGAATAGGTTGTTATATATGACTTATGTCATTTAGATATATACAAAGTATATATTAAGTTTCACTTTATTAATTGCACGATCATACAATTAACATAAATATTAAATATTACAGTTAACAAATCTGATTTAAAATAAGGTTTCAAATGTAGTTTAAAATCAGTTTAATAATATGTCCCATTTCATTTCAGTTACATGCAGTAAATTAAAGCATAAGTGTTTATTTCAAGGGGAATTGGATCTAGTCTAGTGCCATGCTCTTCATATAGTAAAGAAATTCAATAAAACATTCAGTAAATGCGATACAATATTTTTAGAATGATCTTTGTGTTTCTTGGGTTTTAATCTTTTCATGTATTCATTATTAACATTCCAATTGATTTGATGTATCTGATTTCAGTTTTAATGCAATATATATTCTGGCAATGAGTAATAGAATTTATGTCGTTTTTTGGAGCATGACTCTTCCCGAGGTTGGCGTTAGTGAAGTTACCCATGAGACTTTTCTGGGCCTGTTGGGATGGCAATTCTGTGGTTGCTGCAACTGGCCAAAAGCCATGTACTTTAGGGCATGACCATGTGGAAATACATTTGTGTTTAATATTTCCATTGACTTAGAAAGACAAGATCTTAAGGATCGGATAAGATATGTAGTGGTGAATTCAGGGCCACCTGGACACATGATCGCCATCCAAAAAGAAGGATCACCTAATATTTCTAAATAAATTGACAGTTTTACATTTTATAGCATCTGTGGACATAATAATAATAATAATAATAATGCGCCTTTACCAATATTTATTTATTTATTTGAATTGTGATAAGCAAACTTTTTGCGTGTCATTGACGTGTCAATACAGTTTTGTTTGTTGTGTGGCTTTCATTCTTTGCATTACTTTTTTATGTATTGAAAATTATGGGATGGAGGGGATGACCCTGCAGCGCGTGCTAGATTCACTCTTGACGCTGCAGTGCAGATTTCACGCCACACTTCAGAGTCACGTTTATAGTCGCAAGGGTTCATCTCTGCACCAATCAGAAGGCGATATGGAAATATAGGGCGTGTCTTGCATTGTTAAGCAAGTGACGATTCGGCGGTTCCCCTGGCAACAGCCATTTAAGCCAGTCGTGAAGGCGGAGCTGTTTGTAAACTCACGTTGCTCTCAGGGCAATCCAGTTTCCACAACAACAGAAGTATAAGCTTAGTTTTCACTCGTTAAGCGTCGTTTTACACACAAGCCTTAACAAGAGAGGGAGTTTGAGGAGAATTGTTCTCGGTGAGTATTGAAAAACGTGCATTTTGTGCTGTGGTGTGTGTTTATGGGAGAGTCTCGTGTTTGGCATCGTGTATCAGGTGCTGCAGTTGCGGGTTCGCGACATTCAGGCTCCGTACTGCATGTATAAACTATTCAATACAAGATCTACAACAATGTGCTGCTCTGGTTGGCAAGCTGTATTTTAAGATGTTGAGATGTTTTTTTATTCTGTATGGGGGTGCATTAAGGTCATAGCTTATATTCGTGGACTTGTTTACTTGTTTTCATGGCACTCTCTCAGTCTCTGCTTCTCTGATTCATTCATGTGCTGTTTATTTACCATGAGAAACTTTGTTTAGTAATATTTGGTAATTTATGATAAAGTTTTTGTTTGTTTGTTTATGAAACCTTTATAAGCCCTGTATTTGGTCTTTAAGTGAGTTTAAGTGCCAGGAGCTGCATTTCATTGGCTTGAGTCATAAATGTGCTCATGTTACACAAGACTATTATCTTTCAGGGTTTTGACTTTCCTTTATTTAATCCATGCCTCTGTCCTGCTCTCAGTCATTGCCTGGATCAGGGCTGTACAGATGGACTGAAATCCAACAAATCGGACCACCAGAGAAGATCCAACATGGGCAACAAACGGAAAGCCTCCAGTGAGCTCGACAGAGATTCAGGTTTGTCGTTTGTAGATTTCCTAGCTTTCCTAGTTTTGTATTATTAATTTCTCAGCTTACATTAACTACAAAGTAGATTTCACAGCCCTTGTTTTTTTCAAATGCTGCAGTATAATTATAACTAATCCCCTATTACGTATTATATTTATACAATATTGTGTATAATTACGTTGTTATATGTGTATAACTGCACATAATTACTGGGATCTACCCTTACAACATTTTCTCACTGTAGATGCCAGCTCAGGATATTTTAGTGCTTTGGACCAGACCGACTTTGAAGACATGGGACCAACCAGTACTGCAGCACAAAGCATGCCAACAGCTCCTCGGGTGCCTTTCATTCCTGGCTCACATCCAGGCATCTCTCCCATGATCGTAATGAACAACCTCGTTCTCAAGCAGGTATGACACATTAATACAATTCTGTAAGTGTCCTTGTGTCCGTATGTTGCTTTTCTGGAAAAGCTTTAGCTCATGACACATATCTGTTTGTTGCAGTTACGGTATTGTTTTGGTCTCAAAACTATATTTTCTAAATATGTTGGTAGTTACAGCTCATTTCTGCCATTTGCCTTGTGATTCTTGGATTGAATACTTTCCAATGCTTGCTACTCAGCATCTTCAGCTCACGAAATATTAACTAACAATAAGATGTTTGTAAATAATTTAAACTGATCAACAAGGTTTTATGTACTTTAAATCACTCAAAGTAATATGACTAACTGAAGTAGGCAAGAAAAATGTGAATTTCTTCTAATATTGTACATTAAATCTATATCAAAAACAGTCATTTATTAATATACTGTAAAAGGCATCTGAATTGCCCTTTAAAGCAAGTTTACCTACCATTTCAGAAATGGGTTTGGTTAAAGCGGAGATATTGATAAAAGGGGAGATATTTCACAACATGGTTTCTTTACTGAACCTAATTAATTTATTGGTGTGGATAATTAAATGTTTCCATGGTACACAATAGTAGACAGGCTTTGCCTAGGCTCTTATTGCCTCTTGTGTGTACAGTCGTTTTCCATACACACAAGATGTGATATAAATGCGCATTTCATGCCTGCTGCTGCTTCTTATTAGAGCTAGCAAGCGAAAACATGCTGCATAAATGAATGAGGCGATTACTATAAATATTGTTTTATAAATATTGCAGCTGGGTCAATGACATAAGGTTATCCACAATGAAGAAAAGGAAGAATCTAGTCATATACTATATAAAAAAATGTACTGTGTCTGTTTTTCAAAATTGTTAATTGATAATTCTTGTTTCAGCCTAACTCTGTGGCCCCTGCACTAAAACCTTGGCGCTTAAACACTTCACTAGATGTGGTTCCTCAGTCCCAGCTGCTTTTCCTACAGCCAGTCATGCCAGCTGGTGACTGTACCGGCAGAAGTTCTGACAAGCAGAAACATTCCAGAAAACATGTTCCCATGCAAAACACCTTTCAAAAAATTGGCCCACATCTTGCACAAGGGTCTACAGTCGACGAGGGTCCCAGTGCTATGAATAAGAGGTCCAACCACAGTCATGGTGTAAGACATCAACAACGCCGTTACGATGATAAACCTTTCCACAGTTCCTCTTTGAAGCAGGATGTGTCTGAGACATTTAAAGATTACGGTGTAGACCCCAACATTGCTTCACTGGGAGAAATTGGTCACACTGTTGAAGACATGGGTGTGGAAAACTCCTCATCCAGGCTTTCTGACCTTCAGGAGCCCCACACCACCACTTCACTATTCTCACTTTGCACTGACTCCTTCCTTGCTTCATTCCCTCCAAAGAGTCCCAAAGCTTCAGTCACCCAGAGCAGTGATGTGGAGAATATCCCAGAGGCCCTTTCTCCAAGCTCCAGCAAACGCAAACGCTTCTGCAACACGTATAACATTTTGAATCGGTCAGGACTGCTGGGCATCACACTGCGCACAAAGGAACTTATTCGACAAAATAAACGATCCCAGGCCCAACTTCAGAGTCTGCAGGCTCAGACTGACCTCTTCTTGGAGGCCATATGTAGTGGAGATCCCAAAGTCTGGACGAGATTGCAGCTTATCCTCCAGAAATCCAGAAACAGTGAAGAGACGCCAGTGGACACACTGGTGGACTCTGTAAGGGGTGCAGAGTAGGATATGACAGACGTGGGTTGTATGGTGTAGTAGCAGGTTCAGATCTTAATATTTCAGCGGTTGTATTCTGCAGTTTTTGCCACCTTTGTTCAGACCTTTTAAAGTTTGGCACATTTCTAATCAGTTGCTTAGTAAATTTTCAATGTCTTGTCATAATATCAGTTGGAAACATTAAAGATTTAAGTCTTCAATAGAGTCCAGAAATCTAGTTATCACTCCAAGTGTTATCTATCCAACATCATTCTTATTCTTGTGGTTTTGTCCAAAGTATATAAAGACAATGTTTAGGTTAAAACTGCATCTTTTTCAGAATAAACTGATTCAGTGATTCAGAATTTATTAGCAGTGTAGTCTCTATTTAAAAAAAGAATGCTATTAACCATTCTTTTATCTCAATCTAATTGGTTACTATTCGGAAAGGAGGCCTTAGAACACTGGAATGTAAAAATAGTTTCTGCTCAGAATGAATCAAAAGGGAAAAGAGTTCATTTCTAATCTCTGTATCTAATAAATGCCTTTGACAGAGATTTGAGTACTTATACTTAAGTGCACCATTCCCAATTGTTTTTAAATTCAGTTGAAAATGTGAAATTCAGGATCATCTTTGTGAAAATTTTTAAAAATGTGTTTGTAATAAACATTATTTGTATGTGTATAATGTGTTCTGAAATGCATCTCCAAGTAAATGTTCTTGTTATCTACGAGAAAGACCAATGGACGTTAAGGGTAAGATTACTAATAACCATTTGTGCTGGTCGGAGTGTTTTTGAAGTAGCATTTCAACAGTGGTTGTTATTTGTAATGCCTTGTGTCATATTATTGAGTTTACATTCTTAACAAAGATTTGGATGTGAATGATCAAATTGGCAAATGTACTGGTTGATTTTTTCCCCATAGCAATCTGTTATACTGCATGCAAACAGACTGTTTATTGTGTTTGGGAAAGCAGGTAATAAGCTTTGATGACAGAGGTCAGGTTAATGAATGCACTATGATGTCATAGCATGTACACTGTGCAAGTGTGCTTTGCTGTACACATCGTGTTGATTTATCGGAACCCATTACTGAACGACATATTTTTGCTGTAGAAATCTATGCAATAGTCTTGTTTAGTATTAGCATTGTACTGAAGTGCTGTTTTGTATTCTTTATAGGTGTCATTTGACATTTTATGTGCCTTCAAAAATAAAGGCTTTTTAAATATAAAATGTAAAATATTTAAAAAAATATGCCCTGTTTATTAGTTAAAGTTTGAACAATAATTTGTTCAGTGAATCATGGTTTAATGTGTTTTAAGTTTGAAGGAGGTCTCCAAGAAAAAAACAAAAAAAAGTCCTTAAAGTTGTGTTTTGGTTGAAGTCATTTTATACAAGGAGATTTGGTGGTAACCTAATTAGTTACAAATAAATAAAGCACAGAAAATGCTGTATTCTTCAACAGAAAGTGCATGTTCATTATCATTGCTATGCCCTGGTTATTAGTTAAAGTTTGAACAATAATTTGTTTAGTGAATCATGGTTTAATGTGTTTTAAGTTTGAAGGAGGTCTCCAAGAAAAAAACAAAAAAAAGTCCTTAAAGTTGTGTTTTGGTTGAAGTCATTTTATACAAGGAGATTTGGTGGTAACCTAATTAGTTACAAATAAATAAAGCACAGAAAATGCTGTATTCTTCAACAGAAAGTGCATGTTCATTATCATTGCACGCCATATTTTTCATGTATCTAATACAGAAACTTATTAATACAGAAATGTATTAATTCACAACAGTATAACAACTAAATAGGTGTTAGAAAAATGATATGAAAATAACATTTTAGCTGTGATAGTGTAATTGGCAATGCAAATGGAAACTTCAGCTTATAAATAACTAAACATAGTCAACTGATCCAGTCAAGATGGACGTGAAGAGTTAAGATGTTTTGATAAGATGCTCAATTCAGCTGCAGAGAAAGGATGTTGACGGCCATGTTTCAAAACGTCAAACAGGACTGAGCGGAGCAATCGTAAGCGTGCACTTATAATAAATGAAACGCTGGCATGAAACTTAAAGGGATAGTTCACTCAAAAATGAAAATTTGATGTTTATCTGCTTACCCCCAGGGCATCCAAGATGTAGGTGACTTTGTTTCTTCAGTAGAACACATTTGATGATTTTTAACTCCAACCGTTGCAGTATTGCAGTGTGACCCTCCATTATTACTAATTATTTTGACCATGTTGGAGTGCACAGAAAAAATAAGCACACAATTACTTCTTGGTTTGATCATGCTGTAAATCAGCATTTTTTTGCTAATCCGTCCTCCAGTTGAAATGCAAAAAGACATTTTAAAATAGCACCAAACTCAAAATGCTTTCTGCAAGCCTAAACCACAAAATACCTGCCATTTAAGTAACAGAAAATTATCTTGCAATCAAGTGTAGTAAAATAATGTTTTGATGGTATCAAGTACATGTGTGCTGTTCATAAATTAATTGAAAATTAAAGCCTGGTCTAGTATCAGAAATTTGTTTAAATGAACTGGGAGCAAACAGGATGAATTGAAATTTCAGAAATTTTAAACTTGAATGGAAGTGGTATCAAAAAGTTCATATAGCTGTAATGTTTAAATAGAAATGCAAAGTATGTGAAGACATACATTCAAAGTCTCCTATGCTAACTAAGCATCAAAAATACTGTAAAAACAGTCATATTATGAAAATATTACAGTTTAAAATAACTTCATATTACCAATGTTGAAAATAGTTGTGATGCTTAATATTTGTGTAAACCATTAGGATGATGAATATAAAGGTTAAATGAACAGCGGTTATTTAAAGTAGAAATATTTTGTTGCATTCTAAATGTCTTTACTGTCACTTTTGATCAATTTAATGCATTCTTGTTAAATAAAAGTACTAAAAGAAACCGAGCCAAAAGTATTTATTTCATTTATTATTTATGCATTACCTATGTTGATTTTTTTAATTGCAGTTCAGTACATTTCAATTTAAATTACATTTTACCTTCCTGTGGCATGTGGCCAATTCAAATTCTAACTAACCTAAATGTTACCCACATTTTAGCAGGCCACTTGTGTAATAGTGTGCTGATTAACTAGTGTGCGTTGTTTTGTAAATACCCTTCCATCCTTTAATCCTGGCCTCCTTCTCTGATGTTACCGCTGCGAATCACTGCTGCCCTGAACTAGGGCTGAAATTGAGTTTCAGTTTACAGTGATGACAGACATAGATATGGGTTTTACCACACCTTTGTGACATAACGCTCTCCTAATTTGCGCAGCGATGACAGAAATCCACTAAAAATGTAGATCAGTTGTGTGGGCTAATACAACTCAAGTGAACTGGAGCCCTTATCATATTTAATAACAGTTCCACTCAGGCCAACTTATGATAAACACACTGATATGGCAAGTTCTTGGCTTTTCAGTCATGTTTGTGATCATGGTAGACCTGCCAGTTCCCAGGTACGGTTTCAACAGTCTGAACTGGCAGGAAAAGGCCCAGAGCCCAACGGGAACCGAAAACATCAGTCAGGTTGGCACGCCAGGTCCCGCGACCCTCTGACAACTGCCCTTTTTGCAGCTCACACCAGGTTTGCCCTCGGGCTACAAGTAGAAGCTGTTGACAGCAGAAACCGGCGCTCACTAGTCCGATACCCAGCCAGACGTATAGCATTATAACCAGAAAGAACTGGAGACCTGAAATCAAACCTGAGGGAAGAAAAAGAAAGAATGTTCTTATCCAGGATATTTGAAGCAGGAAAGCCTCAAGAAAGACTGATTTAAACTTACCGAGGAAGAAGTAACCTGTCGAGAGTGGCAGAAGAGTGAGGAACGTCAGTGGGTTCTCAAAGGAAATGGAGTATTCTATCGTAAGATACGCCACCCCAATTACCAGTGAATACAGACAACAGCAGGATGTATAGATGCTGAACATAATAAAGTAGCGCATGTTCCTATTCCCAATACAGTTTCCTGTGAAAAAGCAGTGGTGGTCCCGTTTTAGAATCACTTTCTTACACACTTTGCAGAAGTGGCGTCCATTCAGGAGGTAGTGGGCATCAATTCGGTCCGGGCAGTCGGGTGAACAGACTGGAATAACTGTCTCGTTGGCACTCTCAGATGGGTACCATATAGTCATCGTGTAATTGCCCAGCGCGTTCCCCATGAGGAAGAGAAAGACGGCAATGTGGACCAGCATGGTGGGATTTCGCGCCACATCTGGACTTCGGAAAACAGTGGGCATGAAGAGGAGGAAGTGGAAGGTGAATGTGACCACGGTTGCAGTGTAGAAGTATGCAGGTGCAATCGTATTGAGTAGTCTGAGTTTTACCATCCTGAACAACATGCCTGTGTTAGATTAATAAAAAAATGTCTTAATTCAGAAGATGTATTTAACTGAAGATGATAAAATCATACATTTCGTCTTGGCTTTAGCATCAGCAGTTTATCCACATGAAAAATAACACTACTTGAACGAAAATGATGAAAGAAAGTCATTGACATACTGTAAACCTAATTTATACTTTATGATGCTTTAAATACACATATTTTTTAAATAAAAAATACATGGATAGTTTTCACTGTCTGTCAATAAAGAATTATACTGTGCCAACAAGTATCAAGCAAGTTCAAACGAAATTAACTGGAATGGTGCTCACATAATTTATACAAAAAATAATAATTTGGAAATAATAATTATTTTTGAAATTTCATAGGTAAATAAGGAGAGGTGTGAAATTTGTGCTCCAGTAGAGAGCCAGACGAAATTTCAGAAATAATCCATGTTTCAAACATGTTTCCTAAATACTCCCCCGCCTTCCATTGGTCGGCAAAACGGATAGTCCCGCCCCCAACTCACGCCATTGGTTGAGCCCATGTTGCTAAGTAGGACTAAACAAAAAATAAGCAATGTTGAAAGCCACAGTGTTTACACTTTTATATCCAGGAATACATTCATGTATCTTAAACGTCTTTGCACATGAAACTGTGACCGAATAAAGTATTTTAACATAGAAGACATAAATATATATAGGCCTGTGTGTGTGTGTGTGTGTGTGTATGTGTGTACCTGTTTTTCTATTCTGGTGGGGACTTAAACCTGAATACACACAGACTCGTGGGGACTCGTGTCACGGTGGGGACCTAAATTGAGGTCCCCACGGGTAAACAAGCTAATAAATCACACATAATGAAGTTTTTTAAAAATCTAAAAATGCACAAAGTTTCCTGTAAGGGGTAGGTTTAGGGGTAGGGTTGGTGTAGGGCAATAGAATATACGGTCTGTACAGTATAAAAACACCGGATAAAGTATTTTAACATAGAAGACATAAATATATATAGGCCTGTGTGTGTGTGTGTGTATGTGTGTACCTGTTTTTCTATTCTGGTGGGGACTTAAACCTGAATACACACAGACTCATGGGGACTC